TTGCATGATTCTAAAACCATATTAACTGCGACTGACTGCGCCCCGCTGCTGATTGTTGGGTCGCTGCATCGGCTAGTTCGATCATCTTGACAAGAAAGCTTCTTTCGGCCATTTGCAGCGGACTAGTGACTAGTAGACGAGAGCGATCACTTCCAGTCGCGTGACAGAATCGCTCGAGCCGCAATGAATGAACGTTCCCAAACCGCACCTAAACGGCTGCTTTGGTGCATTCTTGGCAAAACCTTCATCAGACGTTAGCCCTGCGTGGAGTTTTGCAACAAACTGCTTTTAGAGATATTTATATACCCTGGTTGTATAATAAATATGAAGTTACTGGTGAATCAATTTATAGAAATCCTCCAATATTGACACGTAGTACAGCCGTGTAAGCGCAACTACACAGTGATAGGGATCACATTGGTGGCCCATTTTTGTGGCGTCATGGGGACGCTGCGTGCGACTACATCTATTGCATAATAAGGATAAAACAAGTAGAATCCTCATGCACGGTTGCTTTGAGCGTGCCATAGGAACCTCTTCAGGCTAGTGCAGTGGGCTAGAGCTCTACTTATAAAAAAACTGATTTGCAATCTTTGTAGATCGTATATCTTAACGCTCACCGAGAATATATTCAATAGCGACGATTGTCCCTGTTCTTCCAATTCCAGCTGAGCAATGAACTATTATGGGTTTACTTGTGCCACGCACTCGCGATAGCAACTCCTACAAATATGAAGGCTCAAGACTTCACACTAAACGCTCATCATTCTACACAACATTATTTCTTACCATACTCGTCAGTTTGCATGGTGGCACGCCTCTGTCAGGCCAGTCGATCCACTGATAATGTCGAACTTCTCGTTGCTCGGAAGTGCCGTCAGGCTTTGTAAATTTAACGATTAACACGGATACTATCACTGTTTGTTCTTCTGGACTCATCGGACGCATCTGAGCGATGAACAGTCATACCATTTACAAGAGAAAATAAGATTAATTAGAATAGTATGTTAAAATATGTAACGGGGGAACTTTTAACAGCACAAATTCTGCTAAACTAACATACCTGTATGTTGGTTATATATATTGGTTATTATATATTCCTGGTCAAAACTTTTTGGACATTCCCACTTGACTGGGCCAGTACTCCGCACACTTGTTTTTGCCCTGGAACAAGGAAAACTGTGATCGAGACTATGTTGGTTCCTAGTTATTAGGTCATCCCATTCAAAAATGTGGAAACATATAGAGGAACGGCAAAAAGCAAAGGGGACAGGCAGTGAGCTACTATACAATTTGGAGCTAGTATCCTTAGGCTCATCTGTGAAATTTGGCGAACCTACCCACAGAAGGAAGTTCTCGAGAAATTGAAAAGAAGCCTGAGTGGTGAAAATCGGAGCGCCCGATTTTCAAATCAGACGTCATAAGAGGAAAGTGCGCCGCTCAAATTTGGCCTGTGTCGACCAATAGTTTGGCGTTTCATGGTGTTTCTCGAATGGGTGGAATATGGCTAAAACAAAGGAGCCCGAAGAAGGCAGAAAGGAAAAAAATTGTTGTCGTGGATGGTCCCATAATGTTCATTCTCCAAGGAAAAAAGGTGGATGAAGAAAAGCGTTTAATGCCTGATCGCAGAGGCTGGACCACTGTTGCGCGCTCCGCGGGAGGACTGAACCTCAACCAGCTGCATTTGCTGCGCCGAGTTGAATGTCCGAGACAAAATTGAAAGGATTCCAAAGGGGGTGTGCGTGTGGGTATCTATTTGCTTATACGAAGTGCGCAGTCCCTGATGCACGAGGCGCAGTACTTGATTGTCTAAGGCAAAGCCCTCCGATTTTCAGCCGTCACGTGAATAGAGGGTTAGTGGATTTGACATATAGAGGACAAAGTGCTGAGTAACTCGACAGTGAATAGAAAAGCAGGAAGAAAGCATGAAAACTGCCCTAGATGGGACCCTAATTGGAAAAAATTGAATTGAACCCTAACTCCAGCTTGCGTGCCCTATTAACTCTATACTACGCCTCGTCCGCACAGCTGATTCCCCGATAAGAACCCTACAGCCGTACAAGTGACGATTTTCATGCTTCTTTGTCCTGCAGCTCCGTGTTTTCCACTGAAAAGGGCGGGCGCTCAGAGCGGAGTCACTGGAAAGAGGGAGGCGGCACTGGAAGCCTACTATAGTCGCATCTCCCTTCGACATTTTTTGTCCGCAAAACCGGTACAATTTTGTTCGTTGCGGACCGCACAGCCCTCCCAACGATATCTTCTCGCCTTCTATATCTGATCGCAACGTGCCTTCAAGTCTGTAATAGAAATGTTCCCCACATAAGGTTTCATTCACTACCGTGAAAAACACCGCCGCCCTAGATGAAATATGAGTGGTTTTGAACTCAGAGGAAAACCCTCAAGCGTTTGTAATGAATATCAAATGGGAAGCCGTCCGAATTCTGGGCATTGAGGACTCCACCATGTGGCCCAAGTGGAGATCATCATAGCGAAGGATTTATGCACTGTGGCTTTCTCCGTGTATACTATCTGCTCCCCGACGATCAGATCGATAAGTAGATGGTACCACACAACTACAAGAAGGCCACCGTTGCTCGTCATAGTGCTAGACCCCGAGTAACTGCATTATAGGGCAGTGCTTGGACACAAACAATACTGAGACCTGGGTTCAATCGCCTCATTCGCTCGATGCCGTGCGATTTCAATCGTTCTGCTCAGTCGAAGGTACACGGTTGCGACGTTTTGTCATTCGCCGAAATTGGCATCAACAGCAGTCTACTCGCAGTTGTTGAAAAAAACGATGGTATCTGTGGTCCAGACGCTTGCCTTCGGGGCACTGGGAGCGGGTCATTAATGAAGGAGGGATCCACTTATCTTAAAGCCGGAATATTACTTTTTCATCTGTTTTCCTCTTCGTTTTAAATCAATAAAACATTCCACAGTTTGGATGGGATCTGCTACCCCTACCAGGTGTGCTGCAAAGTCAGATTATAAACTCGTTAAGTGTGGAGCGACCTATACAGTAGCCAACGCATTAATATGTATTCGAAAGTACCATTTCAAGGCAGTTACAGAGCATTACGATCGTCTGAGACTCTTCCTGTAGCACCATCATCCAGAACTCGGTGATTGTTCCATCTAACGGTCCCTAAAGCGATAAAATAGTGTAGAAACTTAGCCGGACAAAGTTGAGGTCACTATGCGATTCAAACTAATTGAATATATTATAGAAACCTGCGTAATATAGCTGTGTGGCTCAATCTCTACCGACCCTAGTTCATATCATCTGAGGCGTGGCGCAGCGCGCAAACTAAGCTATTAGGTTGTCCGGAAAGTTCTCAGCGTTTTGTGCACCTATTTTTGTACATTCACTGCTGATTAAAAACTCATTCTGCCTT